ATCTCGACCTCGTGATCCACCCGCCTCGGCCTCCCAAAGTGCTGGGATTACAGGCTTGAGCCACCGAGCCCGGCCTCCATTTATTTTTCTTAAGGGAGCACACAGAGGAGTAAAATGGAATTTCAGCCTTTTTGAGGGGTTGTTAGTATGCTGCTTCCTATCTGAGACAGTAAGTGCTGCAACTATTCTTTGTAACTATGGATTTTCATTCTTTTACCTATGGAACCCCAAGAAGAGTTGATGAATCTATGGCTCTTATTTCCTGGGAAAAAAAAGGGATAGATAACATTGAAAAAAATTTTTGCTGTGTCACTTTTTCCTTGAAGCCCATCCTAGAAGAGTCCCAGTCCATGGGAAAGAGATTGAGAGTCCCTGCTCTATAAAGAGTTATTTTCTAACTGTTATCTTTTATGTCTTTTATTTATGCTTGTCTTCTCCAGATCAAGTCAAGACACAGCACATCAGTAACTGATATGATGAAAAACTCAGCAGGTGAGAGAAGAAAGAGATACCACAGACTTGTGCTTTGCCAACTTAAACTCTGAGCCTGACATTTTGCTGAGGTCAAGTCTTACACCTTGCATTTAGAGTGTGGTTACACAGGTGATTGCAAAGAACAGGGGAATGGGCTGTCAGTAATCATGGGTCCAGACCACCCAAGGTTGAGCCTTTATACTTGCAGTTTCCTAGGCCCAAAACACTGTTCCCAGTTACTATCATGGCTGCTTCCTTTTCGTCAACTGGTCTCAGGTCACATATCACATCTTAAGAGGGCCTATTCCTAATGATGTATCTTAAGTAACTCCCTCACCAACAAAGCTATTCTCCAGCACATTTCCCTGTTCAGAGTCTTCACAGTGCTTACTGCCACCTGTAATGATTTTCTATTGCTGTTTTTCTTTTCTTACTAAACATCTGTATCTGTAGCTAGAATATAAGTTATATAGAAGATATTTTGATCTGCAACACTGTCCACTATACCCCTAGCTTTAGAAGAGCACATAGAACCCAGTAGACAATCACAAAATATTTTGAATGAACACTGGTTATCATATCATCATTTTGAATGAGTGAATGTGACAGATCCAAACTGAGGATTAGAGATATTTTCATTATGGATTTTTAAACCTATACTGTAATACAAGTATGTAGCTTATTATGGATATTTGAAGAGCTGTGTGCCAAACCTAACAAGACTTCTGAATGTTTCTAAATGTGCAATTGTTGCTATATATCTGCTGTCATTTTTCAAAGGTTTCAAAATGCGTCATAAAACATTATTGGGTCAGGGACCATGCAGGCCACCAGATGGTGGAGAATAATTTATTTCCTTGATTTCAGACTACTGAAGAATGACTGCAGGAAGAAAGCCAGTTCTTATCTCTGAGCTTACAGAGTAGGAAAGATAAAAGAGACCTTGAGGTTCATCTAGTCCAGATTCATTCTTAATTTAAAAACCCATTCTACACTACCAATGACATGGTTATCTGACCTTCACTTTAATATTTTTAGTGATGAGACACTCATTATTTTACAAGATAAACTGTCTCACAATTGGATAGATTTTGATGAGCAAGGTCTTCCTTCTGTTGATTTGAAATTTCCTTCCTGTAACTTCTGGCCCTTTGACCAATAATGTGTAAGTCTAATTCCTGTTCTGAATTATGAACTTGGAAATATTTGAAGACATTTACACTAAATCCCAATGCACTCAACTTCAGAATGAGCATCCCAAACACCTCCAGCTGTTCCTCACTTATTTCTCCTGCTAGAACCCTCATCTTCCTACTGAATAATCTCTGGACACATTGTAATTAGAAAACATATGTTCTCCAGGGCAAAGTGGAATTATGTCTTATTTTTAATTATGGATTTAATTGTACTTATGCCATAAAACTACTAAATGATCCTCTTTTGTAAGTCAACTATGCATATAATTGCATACTATATCATTACAAATATCAGCATATGTTATTAGTTGTAAAATGCAAAAGCAGGTTACTCTGATATATTAAGACCTCATCTTAGCTGGAAGTCTGCGTCTAAAGGCATCTCATTACTGACAATGCCAGTTTACTATGATTCTTTAGATGAAAATACGAAGAAAAATCAAAATAATCTGGGCTATCAATTTGCACATGCACAATAGTATGGCTTCTTTCAATTTTAAAATTCATGGAGCAAGCAATTATAGATATCCTGAAAGTAAAGCATCCGTTTATAAAGTAGTACTATTAGTGAAAACAATCTAAGACAAACTAGTAAAGATGAACTATATTTTTACAACAATAAAATTATATTAAATGTTTAATGTTGAACAGTGTTCCGCTAAATAAAGTAAAACTGAAGAAAATGAGTCCATATTCATACTTTATGGGAAGATCCGGTAAACCGATCTCATGATCAATAGTAATTATAATCATATCATCAGTATTAATCACTAAGGCAGATATAAATTATACAATAATGTTGTAGCCCAATAATTGTTCATATTGACTTGCTACTGGTAAAAACTAACAAATGGGCAATTCACACTAGGAAATTTGGTAGGTTTCAATTCACACATCTATACTTCTAACTATACTGTAACCATCTGTTCTTTTAATGTCTAATAGTGAGTTATAGTATATTTTAATACCCATAATATGTTTATATGTAATACTACCTCAGAAATATCAGTACTGTTTTCTGTGTTATGGAATAAGCAGGAGTTTGCTGCATTTATTAGTGGATGATACCTACTACAGACACTAGCCAATCTTCAGCTTTCACCCAAAACGAAAGAACTAGGTTCAGTGCCACAATCACTGAAGAACTTAGACACTAACTCAACAACTTTCTGTGTGTATGTGTATATATATATATATATATATATACACAATATATATACAATAAACTGTATCTTGTATATTCCTTTTCATTCAAAGCCAAATGTTTCTAAACATCCAAACACAATGCTTCTCAGCAGTGTGAACATGACAAAAAGTATGTTGATCATCTTTTAAAATAAACAGCCTGAATTGTTAAGTTGTTTCAATAATTCTTTGATTGGTTGGATTACGTCCTCCCAAAATTCATATGTTAAAGAGCTAGTACCTCAGACTATGACCTTACTAGAACATAGGTTGTTGCACATGTAACTAAGACAAGGTCCAGCTGGAGGAAAATGGGCCCCTCGTCCAATATGATTGGTGTTCTTATAAAAAGGGAAAATTTGGAGACACACACACAAGGAGAATGCCATGTGAAGATGAAACAGATCAGGGTGATGCTTCTACAAGATGAGGAACCGGGAAAATGGTCAGCACACCACCAGAAGCTAGGGGAGAAGCACGAAACAGATTTCTCCTCATGGCCCTCAGAAGGAACACCTTAATGTGGTGTTCAACACCTGCTGACACCTTAACCGAAGACTCAGCGTCCAGAACACTGAGATGATAAATTTATGTTGTCGAAACCACTCAGTTTGTGGGACTTTGTTATGAGAGCCCTAGGAAATTACAACAATTTTTAAACTCCTAAAAAATACTTGGCACTGTCCTTTGGGGCATGCATTCAGAATCCAAAGCACTTTACTTTGGATATCCTTAAATGGTGACATATTCTTGTCCTCTGAGATAGGAGTAACAGCCCAGAGGGCCGAATATCTAGGACATGAATATAATGGATCATTTGTGTAGGCAGTAAAGCATTCTTTTAATTAATTACAGCATCCAAATTAATTGATTTATAATATAAATTAACTGCCCATGTCAACAACTGACCTCAGTAGATAGTCTAAAAGATGTTTTGAATGGCAGTATTCCTAGGGGAAAAAAAGTATAACCTCCTAAGATAACCACCCTGAAATATATCGAAATGCATGTGTTATAAATCCTGATGTGTTTCATTTTAAATTTTCATTCTTTATAGCCCTACTATATACACATGAGTTATATTATGAATAGTGTGAGCAGTTACTCTAATGTTCAGCCAGAGATTTTCAACAGTGCCTTGTGATACCAGGTACTTTACTAGAGATGTATCTGAGGAATGATCCCAATACCTCAGCCTAAACAGTTTCCCTTTCTATCCGATTCACATTTTGCATTTTCATTCTACATAGAGATTGCCTAATAACGCTTTCTATGGTGATGGAAATGTCTTATACCTGCACTGTCCAGAACAGGGGCCACTATTCACAGGCGGCAGTTGAGCAGTTGAGATGTAGCTGGTGCAACAGAGGAACAGACATTTCAATTTAAATTAATTTTAATTCAAATAGCCACATGTGGCTATTTGGCTATCATATAGGACAGTGCAATCTTAGATTTTAATTTGAAAATAGAATTTTGCTGCTAACAAAGTTTAAAAATCACTAGTAAAAATGAATGAATAAAAAATCTTCTGCTAAAATGAAGTAATGGATGTTTTTCTGATCAATTCACCCAGAAAACACAAGTATGTAAATTTCTTGGGGACATGAGGACTGACTTTACTCCAGTGAGCACAAAACTTAGTGAAATAAAACTTACATTACTAATCATTAGCCAGCAGGGGGAGCTGAAGAGTAGCACGGCAGCATTTTCTTGGGAGAGGTTCTTTTTTCTCCCCCCTCCTATGTGATGGTGGTCTATGTGGAGGCTTCTAAAATAGGTATTCTGTCGAGGAACTCCAAAGCCTGCATTTCTTGCATATCTATTGTTAGCTACATACTCTGCCTGTGTCTGTCTCAAGTTCTGATCCCCAGGCAGTCGGAACTTGACTCAAAACAAAATAGTTCAAAATCCAATTAATTACAAAACCTGGTCTTTCCCACTTCTCTTTGTTAAAATGTGATTCGTGTTTAGATTTTTATATTGTTTTTTAGCTTTATTCTGTTTTTCCACATGTCAGGGAAATATTTTAAGGCCTTTTATATTTAGACAGAGAAGGAAAATTTCTTTGGCATGTAGTTGATTCTTTAAAGCTATTCCTAAGAAAACATTTATCCATAATAAGTTAACCATACATGGCCTTACCTCTTGATAAAGGTCACTGAGGTCTTCCTGGTGGGCCTGTTTGGAACATCCTGGGAATTCTCTAACACAGCAGGAATCTGGGGGCCAGTCCATCTCTGTCATTTCTAACCAGTCAGTGAAATACACAACTCCACAGCACTTAAACTGTAAAAAATATCACTAGTCAGCCTCAGAAACTACAAAAATATTTTCTTAACTTATAGGAGATTAAGCATCAGTTTTTAAAAAAATTTTGTACCCAGAGCTACATTTACATCTGCCATCACCTAATGATATGTGTGCAGTCTATGTTTATGACAGAAGTGTAGTAAAGGAACACCATGGCTAACCATTGCGTAATGGAAGAATTCTAAGTAATAATGACCATAACACATAAAAACGAATCAGGCATGACCGAGTCTCACCCCCCAACTGTAAGATTGTCTACAAGTTACTATATATGGCAAGAGATTTAACACACACACTAACAAACCCAAGTAGGTGACACCTTATCTTTATCATTAAATCTCTAACCACCAAATTTTTAGACCGCTCCACATACTCAAATATTATATTAAGTTTCTGTAATCTTTGTAAAAAGATGTGTTTACCAAAGCCCATATCACAAAAAGTTAGCAGACATGGATTCCTTAGCTAGTAAAATATCCAAAAACTTTAAGAAATAAACATAGGTCTTGCCAACTAATGTTTATTTAACTGAGTAAGATTCTTGAAATAAATGTTCATATTCTATTACCATAATCTCAGAAGAAATGATGTGCCTTTAGCTTGAATAAACTTGAATTTAAGAAAAATTATATTGACATTTTTTCTTTTTTATCTCATTTCTCCAAAGATTAGCAAAAACCTTCTCTCATCAAGGTTTGGAAACACTGCTTAAGGACCTCTATAGATTAGACTCAGAACAATAAACCACGATGAATGATTTTCTGTCCTTGAGTAGAAAGGGAGGTTGCTCTTCCTCCTCTAGTCAGAAACAAGGACGATGGGCAGTCACTGAGAACTTTGCCAAGAGTGCCTGGTTAGGTATGCAGCCCATCAGATCAATCTGTGTTCAGGTTTAATATTGTACCATAAAATATTGCAACCCACCACCATTTCAAAATTTAACTAAAACTAGTTTTGAAGAATTCTGAACTTTTCATGCTAAAGGAAACAAGGAAAATCCTAAAAAGTAGTTTGTGTTGTTACACTGGCTTAAATATCTGACTTTTAAACAGAAAAAAAAATCATCTTAAGGGTATTATAAATGATGATTAATGAAAGCTGTAATACTAAAATTTTTGAGAAACTTAATATTTTATATATTTTTTTCTTGTTTAAACTTGCTCTAAGAGTCATAAGTATACTATAAACATCACAAATGCCAATAATTTGACATGACATATTTTAATATCCTTAAAAATATATATGTAGTAAAAAGACTCCACTTCATAAAAATCATAAACTACAGCCTTTCCAAGTCAGTCTTTTTAAATCCTTGCACTCAAAGAAAACTCATTTCTCTCCTTTGCTGATGACACGAGTCTTTTCTGTGTTGATGACAGAACAGTTCTTGGCACTCTCTAACTCCATCCAGCATGGAACAGCCTATTGATAATAGCTTTGTCAGTAAATGATGTATTCTACATAAATGACTTTCTCAAATAACTCAAGCACATAATGTTCAATGCTAAACTTATTTTTATGTTAATAAGTATTTTTATAGAATTATCCTTTTTCAATAGAAGACACTGAATTTATTCTAAAACTTTTCCTGACAACTCCTTTAAATAAGCCCAACATGATACCAACACAGTACTGTGGTCTACATCTCCTTGTCATTTTCCTGTCTCCTTTAATACCGTATTGTGAGATAGTACCGCTCTTGCTCATATGTCAAGCTCTAGAAAATAACATCACCATTTTACATATGAGTAAACTGAGGCCTTTGACGGTCAAGTAGTTGCCAAAGTTACAGACCAGTATGTGGGACACTCTATTCCAAAGACTATGCTCCAACTACTACATTAAAACAAATAAATGAACACATTTTTTCACTAGTGTTCTACATAAACGTCATTGGGGCTTAAGTGAGTCTGCTAAGTTGAGGTATGTGCACAGACTTGCACTGAACGAGGAGCAAAGGAAACTGACACCTGATAAAGTTGCTTTCTGCAATACACATCATTCTAGAATTGTGACCCCCACCCAAATTCATATATTAAAATTCTAACCACCAGTTAGTTTAGAATGTGACGATTTTTGGAGATAGTGTTTTTATAGAGATCATTAAGTTAAAATAAGGTCATTACGTGGGCCCTAATCCAATATGACTGATGTTCTTATTAGAAGAGGATATTTAAATACAGACATATTATAGAGGGAAGGCAAGGTAAAGACATGGGGAGAAGATGGCCATCTGCAAGCCAAGCAGAGAAACCTCAAAAGAAACCAACACTCTCCAATCCTTGATCTCCAACTTCTAGCCTCCGGAACAGTGAAAAATACATTTCTATTATTTAAGCCACCCAGTCTGTGGTACCGTGTTATGGCAGTCATAGAAAACTAATATAAGGGACTTAAAAAAAAAAATCTTTCAGGGTTCCCAGAGGTTTTCATAATCTCCATTTATGTAAAATAGTCTTATGATATGAAGGAGGAAACTTATCATATAACAAATCTAAAAATAAGTGTGCTATCATTTGCAGTACTTATACATTGTCCATCTAGGTGATGCTCCCATCAGAAAAAAATTCACTTTGTTTTTTAACTTGGATTATTGCTGTCTACATCACAAATTCCAGAAAATAATGACCTCTAGGCAGCATCTACTCAGGACAGTAGCTGACATACGTACTATAAATTTCCAAATGCTTATTTTCTCTTTGTGTTGTTTTTAGCACAGATATACAATAAATAAACAAAGTTAGGAAGCACTTAAATAAACAGGAAATCTGTGTTACAATGATAATTTTTACCATCTCAACAGTTGTACACAGAGAGCCAGATTTGGAAATTGCCCTGGACTTGAACCTCTGCCCACATCCAGGACAAAGTAACTGAGCAGAGATTTGGCTATCATGTAAGATACTAATTCTCAAATGCTTTGTGGTCTAGCACTAACATAAATTGAAGGAAACTGAAATACTTATTCACCTGGAAATGTCACTTCAATCACAAGGAAACTGCTTGGAAGACGAGCTTGCTTTGAAGCAAGGTCAATGGTTAACTTCAAGTCACCAAATTTTAAATACCTGAATACAGTCCTCACTTGAGAAGATGGTTGGGTACAGTGCTACATGGCCATTGAGTAAGAAATCTAAAAGTACCTATGCTTTGTAATGTTATTGTTAATAACCATAGGCTAAATGAAATCGAACCTATGATATCATTTAATCTTCTCAACAACCTGAAAAGATAGGTATTTTTATTATCACTATTTTACAGGTGAGAGAACCAAGACTTAAGGAGGTTATGTAAATTATAGAAGCTCACTTAATAGTAAGTAGCACAGCTATGATTTTAACCAAGGTCTTTCTGAGTAAATCATGCCATTAATGATACACTGACTTCAAAGTCCCAAATGAGAACAATCATTTTTTAAAACTAAAATTATGTTTAAAATGCTGACAGCACTAAAAGTCATGAAAAAAATCTACTTGACTAGAACTTGGATATTTATCAAGTTAACTCTCATAAAAAGGAAACCTCACAATAATTCAGCAAAACGGCTTTCCAAAGTTATTAAATATATGTGAACCATGTGAAATAAAGGGGAAATGGTATATATGGAAGAAAATCAGGCCATGAAGTTACTTAAGATATTTTTCCAGAAAGAATTGCTCCAGAGGTAACTGAATCATAGGCTTAATTTTTCAGCACGGAGAAAATTACCAAAGCCAAAGCTTTAAACATCTGTTTTGAAAGTGCACCACTTACTTCACTCTCTTTACCTCAGAAATTGTAGAACTTACCTCTCTCTGAAAAAAATTCCAGGCGTGAGTAAGCCACCGATATCTAGGTAATCCATAATTTGTCATCCTGGCTTTCAAAGTGACCATATCTGACCATTGTACTGGAACCTGGTAATAAAAAATATCAACAGCTATGACACACACACACTAAGATCAAGATACACACACACACACGTGCGCACAGGTACTCAGAATGTCTTACAATTAACAAAAACTATTTTAAATTTATATTTGCTTGTGGCCAAAATTTAGCTCAGTTTTCAATGTATTTATTGGACAACCTCAATGTGTAGATTTTTGTGATAAATGGGGAGGTATTTTGTGTTAAGGAAAAAATGAGAAATCATTTTAATCCTCAAGGAAATCACAAATAAGAAGCTAACTGTACATCCCACAGACATACCTGAAGACTTTCACATAACAAATAATCTCTGCAAGAGAAATGCCCTTAATTTGATTTCAAAATGCTATGAAGTTGTTGCTCTTTGAAACAACTGCAGATAATAGTACTAAAACAAAGGGGAAATAATTAAGAAGGGAAAGAATTTGGCTCAAGTCAAGCCTCACTCTGGGATAATTTTGTCGACACTTTTTGAAAAGTTGTAATTTGGAGGTATATTAGCATTTTAGAAAGAACAGTTCTCCACTTTCGCACTGTTGGTGGGAATGTAAACTAGTACAACCACATGGAAAACAGTGTGGAGATTTCCTAAAGAACTAAAAGTAGATCTACCATTTGATCCAGCAATCCCACTGCTGGGTGTCTACTCAGAGGGAAAGAAGTCATTATCTGGAAAAGATACTTGCACATGAATGTTTAGAGCAGCACAATTCGCAATTGCAAAAATGTGGAACCAGCCCAAATGCCCATCAATCAACAAATGAATAAAGAAAATATATATGCCATGGAATACTACTCAGTCATAAAAAGGAAAAAATAATGGCCTTCGCAGCAACCTGAATGGAACTGGAGACCATCATTCTAAGTGAAGTAACTCAGGACTGGAAAAACTAAGCGTCATGTGTTCTCAATCATACGTGGGAGCTATGCTATAAGACACAAAGCCGAAGAATGATACAATGGAATCTGGGGACTTGGGGGTAAGAGTGGGGGTGGCAAGGGATAGAAGACTACACACTGGGTACAATGTACAGTGCTCAGGTAACGGGTGCTCCAAAATCTCAGAAGTCACCACTAAATAACTTATTCATGTAACCAACCACTACTCTCCAATCACTCAACATCATGTCTATTAGAGAGTGTTTAATCATGACAGTTTTAGATACACAATACCACAGTCACTGTTGTAATACCATGCGATACAACAGTCATTGCTGGCCAGAATCTGGTCATTATATCAAGCTATGTTTTTTACTCCAGGACCAGGAGAAATTGAGGTATAGAAATGCTAATCTCATCACATAAAAGTATTAAAGCAACTCTGGGAAACTGGATGGACATTCCTATCTCATCTATGAAGTAATACAGACTGGGCTAAGTAAGGCCAGCTTGACATTCAACAAATAACACAAAGATCAAGAAACAAAAGAGAAAAAAGGGAGATGCGAGCAAATAAGGATCCAACAGAACTAGATATCAGGATTATTTTGAAATCTTATTTTTTAAGATAGTCATATCAATAGAAATAATTTAAAAATTCTTGACTACAGAAATCCTTCAGTTTTTTCCTTTGTTAATTTTATTGATTACTTGGAAATACACAATATATAATGAAACATCCAAACACTTGGGCAAACAATTTTTTCCCCAAATAATGGGCTAAATGGGTGTACTCCATGTTCATATGCCTTCAATAATGTTCAGGAAACTAGTTAAAGTTCAAGCTACTCACCATAAATTAGTATTATCTCATAACCTTTTGAGCATAAAATAAATGGAAGTGAAATAAATTATCTAGAAATGTACAATCTGAAACTATAGCATTGACAGATTTTATCCAGAGAAGAAATAATAAATAGATGAACATGTATAAAAAACAGAAATAATGGAAAAACAGATTGTGTGATGTCAAGTCACTTGATTCAGTTAATATAACAATTTTTTAAAACTTTACCTTCCAAAATAAATACAGGTTATTTTCTTATTGTGACTACAATTAATCTGAGACCAAATGTGGAAGAAAACAGAGGAGACCATTGAGGTTCTGGCACAAATACTGAGATCGGGCCATAAAGTAACACACAAGTTGATTGGTTCCTTGCATGGAACAGCTAAAAGCACAAAAGTCCATTTTATGTAAAGGCTGAGTTCTGCAAAATTTGGCAGATAATAAACTTTAATGGCACTTTTCATTCACACTGCTATTCGTGCAAAAGCAATAAAAAGCCTGACAAACTTTTTTTAAAGAACTGCTTTTACATTTCACTTTCAAACAGCCCTTGCTCTATCCCAGTGATGTAATGGGAAAGATTTACACAAGCAAAACAGTGACGTATGCCCTCACCTGGAATGGTAGTGGGCACCTATTTAATACTGCAATACTCAGGAGCTATTTGCAGATGGCCTCTTAACAGAATAGAGAAAAAATATCTAAACAAGTATACATTAATTTCAATTTCCTCATGTTTGTTAGAATTACATTAGAATCAAAACATTTTATTTCAAACATCTTAAGTTAATTCATTTTAAACTTGCTCTATCTTAGAAGATTTACCAAATATTAGTATGGCATATACACCTTACTGCCCATGTTTAAAATCCACAAGAAAGTAAACCAATTGCTAAAATCCTTTTAATTACCAAACAGAACACAATAAAAAGATGACGTAACTGGATCTAGAACTAATGATAAGATTTACTCTCTATTGCTTAAATGTCAAGAAGACCCATTTATCATTTGAAAACAAGAAAAAAAAAATAAGAGAAACAATCTCATGACTGAAAACCATAGAAACTGATTCCCTGGGGCCAAGTACTTTTTCACTCCCCTAATAAAGTTTCCAGGGATGCAGAGAAAGCATGATTTTCAAAGAGAGCAAACAAATTCCTGTATTAATGGGAGAATTCATGCTAATGAAACTCTTAACTATATCAAACTAGTTAGAATCTGTCCTAAATTTTCACGTTTTCCGGAACTCTCTCTTCTTACTTAGCGCCATTGCACACTGGAAGAATGAGTGCCTTCACAGAGGTACGTATGTGTGAGTATGCCAAACACCACTGACATGTAAATTGGAGTGTGGAGAGTAGCCACTAGTCTGTGCTTACTACTTGGTACTCAAAACGGTCTTGAAGCACAATAATAGATTCACCAAAGAATCTTTGAAGACTACATCAGCACCAGAAATGACTTCTATTTTACTGTATAATTGCCAAATGACTCTCTTCGCTCTGAAACAAATACAATATAATGTCTCTCTTCTAGAGAGTTACTAAATTTTAAAATGTTGGGAGACTCACCAGGGAACTTGTCACAGATGCAAATGCCCAGTCCTTGCCCTTTTCTCCCTACCTTCCCCTCCATTCTAGTTGAGCGCATCTGTGCTGGAGCCTAATAATGCACATTTTTAAGAATCATCCCGGGTGGCTCCTACTGCAGATGGCCCAAGAACTACACATGAAAAAACACCACTTTACTAAAATGGTGTTTTAGTTTTACAAAGTTTATGGGGAAAAAGTCAGGCCTCCCTCCATGAAAACAACCGGCATTCACAGACATGCAAAAGCGTTCAACATCAGTAGCGATAAATGCACTAATTTCCCTCAATGAAGTAAGCAAACATTAATAAGTAGTATTACCCAACGCAAGCAAGGGTGAAGTGCAAGTGGTAAGCCAAACATGACTAGCAAACATCTTAAGACTGAGAAATTTTATGCTCATTCATGCTAGCTATGAAAGTTGTCCCAGCCATTTCAGCTGCTGAAATAAAAGAGAAAAAATGACGAAGAGCTATTTTCAAGTAGCCAAGTATGGAACTGTGAGAGTGTTTCTAGATTGTGCTAAACACACAGCAACTCTTCAAATACACCTCTTATTTAAGGTGGAAAATCGTTCTGCCTGTTGCAAACAGGAGATGTAGGCTTCCTAGTCATCTGTGCACTATTGCAGTCAGCATTTTATAAGGCTTTAGGTAAGTGTTCAAGCATTTTTAAACTAATCATTTCCAAATATAAATCTTTTCTATTATTAACTCTGAAATTGGTAAAATTATTTTAGAACATATACTATTTCTAGTCTGTGATACCCATTTTAAGCAACCCATAGAATTAAAGACATATACAGAGTATACCAAAGAAAATATTACAAATTATGGTTTGAAAATGTGCTTTAGACACAGAAAATGTTAGTTTCCAGAAGTATTGGGACTATTCACTATAATGTAGCATAAACATTTCAATTAATAATCATGTGCCTAAATTACTCTATTGATATGGTTAAGCTTTGTGTCCCCACCCAAATCTCATCTTGAATTGTAATCCTCTGATCCCCACATGTCAAGGCACAGGTAGAGGTAATAAAATCAAGGAGGCACTTTCCCTCATGCTGTTCTTGTGATAGTGAGTGAGTTCCCACGAACTCTGATGGTTTTATGAGGGGCTCTTCCCCCTTCGCTCAACACTTCTCCTTCCTCCTGCCATGTGAAGAAGGTGCCTTCCTTCCTTTTTGCCTTCCGTCATGATTGGAAGTTTCCTGAGGCCTCCTCAGCCATGCTGAACTGTGAGTTAATTAAATTTCTTTCCTTTATGAATTACCCAGTCTCGGGCAGTTCTTTTATAGCAATGTGAAAATGAACTAATACAAGGATCTAATTCAAAAGGCTGACCTGTTGTTTTAGATTGGGATTATATCTATTTGAACTCACCATTAGTTCTTGTTCATATGTCCAAACGCCACAAGCCAGTTCTACACAGAAAATGACAAGCAAACTTCCAAAGTACTGTAGAAAAACAGAAAAGTGTGCTGTTATTATCGTACCAAACTAAAGTATGCTCCTCAAAGACAAACTTGTTATTGTGTTTACTTAGTGAACAAGAAAACAGAGGTGAGTTTTCATGAAGCCCCTCGGGAGCAGATGGGGAAATTTTCAGCAAATTTAGAAGTATCTGCAGATAACATTTAATATCCACCTCAGTGAGCTGTAATTTATTAGTCATCTCCTAAGAAAAAAATATTTTATAAATGCCATTACTTTTATTAGGATAAATAAAAATTTACATGTTCTAGTTTGATAAACTTTAACCAATTTCTCCAAGAAAGGGACCTAATTTCTTTCAAAGTGGATGAGTTTAATGCTCAGCCCATGAGTAGATTTTAACTCATTCTTCTAGGCAATGGAAGCGGGGGGTTCTCCTTTGCATTCTTAGAAAAAACATAACGTAGAACAAAATCTCAACTACTGATGACACTTTATATAGTAAGATTCTATTATGGGGAAGGCACTTGGGATGTATAATATAACACAAAAGTTCTGACAAGGCAAATAAATAACACAAAGTTGAACACAGTGTCGGAAACAGAAAGAGATAAAAATTCAAGATACCTATGAAATAGAGAAATATGCAGTGTTGCAAAAGGTGAAGAGGATTGGAACAAAGAAGAGAAAAGAGAACACCAGGCAAATAAAAGACATGAACAAGTGTGCAGAGTCAGCTGCAAAGTCAAGCAAAGAGCTGGGTAACAGGAAACAGATTCATCTAGCTAGAGTGGTGTGGTGGGGTGGTCAGAAAGAGGAATGAGAAGAGATCAAATGTAAAAGATAGACTGAAGCCAGATTATGGTGAACTTTAAATAATACGCTAATGAATTTTAAGTTCATCATGCAGGCATTAAGGTAGAATATTTCAAAGATTCTGAATAGGGGAAAGACGTGATAAACTGATAAAATAAAGGCAAAGTTCTAAATGATTTGGAAAAAGGAAGGGTGGGCAGGAAGGGTAAAGATCCCTTAGAAGGCAGCTGAAGAGGAGGCATGAACTTAGATGGTAGCCTTGGAAATAAGTAGAAAAGAATCCTTTTTAAAGGCATAGGGAAAAAAGTTAGACATTAGAGGGCATTAGACTTATTAAATTTAGAATGGAGGAGAAAGATGTATTTCACCAAAGCAGAGAAATTGGGAGTGGTAACTAGTTCTGTGTGAAGAGGAAAAAAAAAAGCTAATTTTATTTGATCAACATAAAAATGTTTATCTAAATATTAGAAATGTAGATTCAGCTGAGTGTGGTGGCCCAGGCCTGTAATCTCAACGTTTGGGTTTAGGGAGGTAGGGGGATCACCTAAGCCCAGGAATCTGAGACCAGCCTGGGAAATATAATGAGACCCTGTATGTACAAAAAGAAAATGAGCCGGGCATGGTGGTATGTGTCTGCAATCACAGCACTTTGGGAGGCTGAGATGGAAGGATCACTTGAGTCCAGGAAATTCAGGCTGCACTGAACTATGATAATGCCACAGCACTTCAGCGTGAGTGACAGAGAGAGAACCTGTCTCAAAATAAGTGTAGATTTGAAGCCCACGTAGCCAAGGATAGAACTGAAAATCATTACTATGATTAGAAAAAAAGTAGCAATTTTTGCATAGTGTTCTGTTTATCAAGTACTTTCACAATTAATTCACTCAAGAATCCTGTGAAATAGATAAGACTACCTCATTGCACAAGCAAGAAAATTAACATAAAAAGTAGATAATGTGACTTCCACAAGAATGTGTATAATAAATTTGGGAGAAGTGGACCACTGTAGCTATGTTCCTGTGTCATACCTTGCCTGATTATGGCAGTGACTTTGCTGCTTGTGGCAGAAGAAAGCAGTAAAATATAAGAAAGAACAAGCTCTCTGAAAATTGTCCTCACTAATTTCAGCAAGAATAAAACTTCACTGCACTCATGAATATTCTATTCGATTTATGGTGGGAGGTCAGAATGGGAGTACCAGGTGGTGATAATTTGTGAATATCCTCCTTCACTGGACTGAAAGCTCCACTAAGGATAGGTACTTTCTTGCATTCCTCACCATATAATAGGTGCTCCATGAATATTTGTTACATAAAAGAACAAATGAAAACAAAGCAGAGTGATATAAAGTGAGTAGGAGTGAGAGCTAACTTGGACTGGGAGATCGGGGAAGGTCTTTTTACAAAGGTGATCTTTAAGGTGAGTCAGTACAGACAAGAAAGAAGCAACGCTGTTAAGATTCCAGAAAAAGCAATCCAGGAAGAGGAAATACCAAGTGTGGTGTGACCTTACATGGTGAGCTAGCTAGTTAAAAACTCAATGGGAACTAGCACACAGAAAGAGGGGGATGGGTTACAGGGTCTGCAATGCTGTGAGGTGTGAAGAAACAGATCATCATGAGCTATGGAAAGGATTTTGGATTTTATTCTATGCGTAAAGCAAATCCATTAGCGGGTGGCATGATCTAATGTATATTATAAAAACAAAATTCTGGCAATTTTGGGAAAAATGACCTGTAAAAAAGCAAGGTGTGATGAACCAAATAAAAGATTGCTGAAGTAAGATGATGGCAAGAAAGTGGGAAAAGTGAACTGAATTAGGATGTGAGCCATCGGGATTCAAACTTAAAATTACTTTGTTCATAATATTTGCTAATAAAAGGGGGAGTGAAGTATAATACATAGAAAATGGGCGGATTTCCTACTACCGTAATATACCTTCCATGATTTAAAAATATAAATCACTGCTATTAGTTTTAATCTGCTTCCTTCAGACTTCTTTCCTATAAAAAATAAAGAATGTATAACTACATAATGTCTCAGACAAGAACACAGCTTAAAAATAACCATTGGTTCAAAAGATAAAGTAGTATTTTGTTAAAGGGATCTCATTTTGCAAGCTACTTTTATTTTTGGCATACATAGACTGATGGTCAGCTTTAATGTACTCAGGTATCGTTTCAAAGTATTGTTATATCTAGGTCTTAAAGATTTCAGCCTTAAAATTATGATTAGAAGGAATTTTGTGAGCATAGTACTTCAAGCCAATTTTCCTCCAAACTTTCTTTAATGCTTTACTTAAGAGATTTCTAGACATAAAAAAATACTCTATTTACATCTATTACAAAGAGACCAAATGTTCAGTAACTACATACTAGATCATTTTCCTAATCTTTGATAAGCAAAGACCCTTGGAGACAGTGAGACTCCAGAGAAAAATTAAACTATGGGGCATTTTTGCTCTCTCAGATCCTTAACCTAAATTCTTCTCAAATTAGATGTCTGGTTACAATGAAAACCAAAGCATCCCTGAAAAGGCAAGATATGTTTATGAATAAAACATGGACCCGGATTATAATTATAAAGAATACAGAAAATTCCCTGATTTTGCCTTAAGGATAATCATGCAAATTTCAAGACAGGTTTTATAACCTTTTAAATCCCACTTGAATATTCTGTCATTTCCTGTCTCTTAGCGTCACTGATCAGGTTGCAAATGTAGCCCATGATTGATATGATGGGGCTAAGTTTCCTATGAGCTGGACACTCTTAACTCTGGGAAAACTCCCAAATGATTGTATCTTTCAGATTTCCAGTGTTTTCATATGATGTCACTTCACCCACACAAAATATTTTTTTATTCCATTAACACTCAGGAACACTGATTTGTTTGACCTTGAGGTTGAAAGTACAGGTTTCATCAACATTATAAATTTCTCAGAATAAATTAAATTTAAAATTGATTAAAAAAAAAACTTGGCTAGGTGCAGTGGCTCAAGCCTGTAACCCCAGCACTTTGGGAGGCCGAGGCGGGTGGATCACGAGGTCAAGAGATCGAGACCATCCTGGTCAACATGGTGAAACCCTGTCTCTACTAAAAATATAAAAAATTAGCTGGGCACAGTGGTGCGTGCCTGTAATGCCAGCTACTCAGGAGGCTGAGGCAGGAGAATTGCCTGAACCCAGGAGGCGGAGGTTGCGGTGAGCCGAGATCGCAGAATTGCACTCCAGCCTGGGTAACAAGAGTGAAACTCCGTCTCAAAAAAAAAAAAAAAAAAAACTTTACAAATGATGTTGCAGCTTCATGGTCAGCTGTCTTTTCTTTGGTGTTATTGCTGTAGCCTGAAACATCCAGTCTTCTAATTCCAAGGAAAACTTCAAATATCAAATCCATCCCTAACAGAGGATATACAGATCACCTGCACCTACACCTAAATTTTCTTTTGTGGCAACATCTGATTCCTTGACAAAGTCATTCTCCTACTGATTATTGTACTGAGAATCACTCAGCCACTATTTAGTTTAAGAGTTAGATTTGAAGCATCTAAAAAGTATGATGTTAATTCTTAATTTCAATAGAACAAAATTAGCCCAGAATTAAACAGCAGTTTCTGCTGCTCTGTGTTACGGTAATGAAGTGTACATCCATATCAATTTCACTATACAATCAACCACCTGTTGTCTTCAACAGCATTGGGAACATGTATGTATCTCCCCTGATGGTGGCCGAAAGTGTTCCTTGTGTTTCTTGCAGTCCCAATGCATATGGTTTGATAAGATGGTTTGTACCAGTCTAGTTTGCAGAGCAACTGATTCTTGCTTCTCCTAGTGTGTTTTTCTTTCTAGAATGATGAAAAGAGCTCTAAATTTGGAGTTAGATTTAAGTTTAAAGCCAGCTCTGAAACATATTATATGATCCTTAGCAAACCATTTAACTGCCCCTGTGTCAGTTTGATATCTGCCTGATAAAGATAAAAATGAACCCCTTTTTTAGCTGTCATCAAAGTTGATTTGATATATGTGAACATGCTTTGAAAAAATGGAAAGCATTAAAAAAAAATACTACTCTGTACTAATCTGAAACACAGTCGATAATGACTTTTCATCTCTTTCTTTACATAGCCTGCATTCTCTGCAACATGCCACAGGGTCTTCCTCATCATTGTTTTCCAGTATTTTACCTCCTATTTTTCTCCCTCCCTCTGTGTG